AAGAGTGTCATAGACCCAAGGGCCAGAAAATACTATTTTTCTGCTATTCCTGGGTATGATTTGTTGACTACTTTAGCTCCGAGCAAGTACCAATCACAAGGATTCTCACTGCATACGTGGACAAAGATGAACAATGGTGGTGGTGTTGTTCTTACTGACTTTCTTGTCATTAGTTCATAAGAGTAGCCTTTTCATCAATAGACCTAAAAATTGCAGAGCGCTGGATGATAACGTTGGGTTTTCTCTTCTGTCTATCTCAGTAGAATAATTGGCTTCATTACATTCAAGATCTTGGATAGCTTAAGAAAATTCATGAAGAGAGTACGAGTAGTCTTCCCTGTTGGATCTGTCATATTCCTGACCCTTCAGAACTGCTGTTGCTAGCCAGGAACCCATTGAGGGTTGGGTACGGCTTATGTTCAGACACTCGAATGGCCTTTGCTTCTTTCATATGAAGTATACCACACGCAGAGCGTTGTCATTACACATGGAGTAGGCAGAACGGTTCAGCTCATGTTTGATACAGACAGTGACAGGTATTCTTTTTTCATAATCCCCAGAGCTAGGCCCAAGTCCATCTCCTTAGTTTGGGGTGGCTCAGTTGCTTACTTTCTGCATACACCTTTTAACTGTGCACATTTCGAATTGGTACCCACAATCATGTCACCACAGGAAACACTGAATCTTTTCCATTCACAAAGAAACAAAGTAGAACCTTGGCCCCTACGTGATGTGATGACATAGCCTGAGTGTTTGATTCTGGTCAGATTAAATAAATAAAATCAAAATGTCAGCTTGGCTAGATGTAGTTTCCTTACAACGCTTGTGGTGAATACAGTCTTAACAATGATCTATAGAGATCTCCTACATCATACAAAATATGTAATTTCTTCCCTTGCCTGTTGCATTTTATTCTTTTATTATTAGCTTCACATTGATAGGACGTTAGTTAAAATGTCTTACCCTATTTGTGATGAAGGTGTAATGTGCTTTAGTGTTAACAGATAAAATCTAGCTACTATATTCGAATACAAGTAGGCATTTAAATCATGGTCTTAGAGGAAGTCTTTTGCTTCATTCTGTTTCATTTATTTTCATAGTTTTAGATGCTAGTCTCCTAGCCATTCGTCAACACTATGTTAATTAAAAGTAGCAGTGAGAGACCAGCAAGTGGCGTAGTGGTTAAGATGTCTGAATCCCACATGGCTGACAACAGTTCGAGTCCCAGATCTGGTGCTTTAAAAAGCATGCCAGGCACATGTATGTGCATACCCAAAGTCCCAGGAGGAGAATGGAAGAGAAGGGATTGCAGTGTGCCCATCCTCCTCTGCCTCCCTGGGAAGGGGGGTGGTTTCTCACTTCCCCTCTCACTGTCTTTCGCTGGTGAGCGCACACACCCTAAGGCAAATATACTTAAAAAAAAAAAAAAGCAGTAATGATAACTAGATCTGTTTTTCTTTTTGGTTTAGTCACTTTTCTGGAATATTGGGAATACTTCTCAAGAGATGGTCCACTGAAATATTTCTTTACTTTTGAATTCCTGATACATGTTCAAGGAAGAAAAAGTTGAGAATTGCCACTCCAAACTAAATGAAAGATAAAATTAGAGTAATGTGTATTTCTCCATCCCACCAGGGAGAAATACTCATGAATAACGGGAAGGGATGCCTCCGATTTAAATGGCTTAAGAGAAAAGAAAGCTCCCAGTAACACCAAATTAACATTTTCTAGGTACAAATATATGAAGAAGACTTCAAAAAGGAGCGATCGGATCGAGAAAGACTTAATCAAGAGAAAGAGGAGTTACAGCGAATTAATCAAACTTCTCAATCCCAGTTGAGCAGGCTGAATTCTCAGGTATAAGTTAAAACAGAATTGTCTTTGCCAGCACATGTGTGTTTTATTTTTATTTTCTCATTTAAAAAAAATTCAGAACTCTTTGACTTCTGTTCATTAACACTGGGTTTATTTGAGAGGTCGGCACCTGGGATTAAATCATTCTTAAACAGTCTTGTAAGGAAATGAAAAGGACTGAAAATTTCTTTTACCTTAAGTATATTAAGGAATTTCTCAAGAAATTGGATTCCAAAGTCTTTCATAAAATACAGTTCTTTTGATCTTTTTCTCATAATATTTATCTTGGTAGAATGGGAGTTGAACTGCCAAATACCCAAACATAGTAAAGTGATTTCTAAATTCTCATTGTCTTTGAAGGACTATGTTGGAATGTTCTGTCTTCTAAAAATATACCTAGTTCTAAAAGCCATTTATATGTCTAATGAAACCCAAGGATTTTGTCTGTTGGGGGTCCCAGATTTAATGAAACCAGAAAACACATTCTAGGAATTGAAAAATTGTCACCAGTATATTGGAATAGAGTATATTACATGTAAGTGCACCAAAATTAAGTGTAATAGAATGGATTCCAAGAAGTTGCCAAAATGGGTAAATTCTGATGCTAATGAAAGAAGACATAGCTACCACAGTATTGGCGTAAGAAAACCACAACATTTTTAATTGGTAAAATCATGTGATGCTTTGCAATAAATAGGAAATTGTTGTGGGATACACTGGGGCAGCTCTTGACTTTCTGGAATCTTAGTCTTAGAAAACACTTTAAATTTTTAGTCTTCCTAATACAAAATACATTGTGAATTAAATTGAATTCATTCTCTGATATTTGTTCAAGGATTAACGTAAAATTCCTAATTTTTTTTTTAACATGGAAAAATTATTTGGCATAACCATTTCTTCTCTAAGAAATTAGAAGCAATAAAATAGTGGTAAAAACATAGTCAAATAAATTTTCTGAAAATAATTTATGCACCCTAATTAATTCATAGAACAATGGGTGAGAAAATGCCACGATTACTCTTGATACATAAATGGTCCTCTTAGTTTTTATTTCTTATAGGCAAAGATGCCCTAATTTCTTTTAAGTTGTTGCTGCACTTTCTGCCATATTTTAAGTTTATTCATTTATTATATTAAGGTCAAATTGCTAATAAATCAATGTCTAAGACTGGCAAGGTTCTTGCTATTCCAGAACTTTTAATGCATCAGGACCATAAATATTTATTTACTTAATGTTTTAAACTATAACCGCAAGTAATTTCCATTCTTGTATCAACTGTCAAGTAATTTTTAATTGATAGCAACATATGAATGTATTGTCTAAGTACAGTATGGTATAATTGTATTTGTAAACCAAGAGATGATTTTTTTTAATCGCTAGAGTGCACATGAGCTTGCCAGGGATAGACAGAGAGACAGCAAGAGAGGAAGAGGAAGAAAGCACTCCCCAGTGGGGCATTGTCATGTCATTATCCCTTCTCCATTTTTCCATACTATCAGGTGCTGGGCACCCATGCACATGCGCAAGCCTCTGGAGGCTGGGATTTGAACTGCAATCAGTGTGATGTCTGGCTCCTTAACGAGTAGGCTATGGGGCCAGTCCAGACAACCTTAATGATATCTAAGTGATCTTAAAACTTAGCATTTTTTTTGTTACAATAATAATAACTCTATCATTTATTTTTCCAAAGTTTCTTTCACTATGGTTAAAAAAAAAAATTCAAAGAGATGCGGTAAATGGTCTGATAATCTATGTTAAATGTATTAGCAGTTAAAAAGCTAAGGTAGAATAAAAATAACTGGCCTTGCCTTAGTTAAGTAGCAAAATGGACTTTAAAAGCAATTTTTGGGCCAAATCTTTATGACATTAGTTGCGTACATACCAGAATGTATGTTCATTCTATCATGAGGTTGTTTTAAGCCGGTAACAATGATTTTTTTTTTTTAAAGCAATTTAGAGACTTCAGAGTAGGAGGGCTTTAGAGGAAAAAGACCAGGTATTCTGGTCTAATACTCAGCCTGTTCTAATACTCAGCTGCTGGTGACCTTGAACAAATTTTTCAACTTTTTGAAGTTTTCTTTTTTCACCTATAAAATGGCAAATTTGGATGAGATGATCTCTAAAATGTTTTTTATGTAACTTTAATTCCTTTAAAAATAAGTTACCTAACCTATCTCAGGATTATAGTATAGCAAGATCTTGTCAGGAGTCTCTCTCTCTCTTTCTCTCATTATCTCATATACCTCTCCTTCTCTCTCATAAAAAACAATTAAAAAAAAACAACAGAAAGAAAACAGAAGAATAAAAAATAAAAATACTTAAAAAAAAATGTCAGGGCCAGACTGCAGCATGGTGTTTAAGGCAGCTGGATCCCATGTGGGTGATCTTGCGACTTGAGCCCCAGACCTGATGACTTGAGAAGTACTCCAGCACATGTGCGTGCATGCCCCAGCTCCCTAACAGAGGGAGAGATGGAGGAGAAGGGGTTGCAGCGTGGCCATGCCTCATGGGGGGAGTACTTTCCCCATTTCCCTCTTTTGCTCTGTCTCTCTCCAGTGAACACTTGCCCTCTGGCCAAATTTAAAATACAGGAACAGAAGAAAGAAAAAGAAAAAGAAATAAAACCTGTTGAAACAGCTAGAAGCCGTAATACATAACAATGGCTTTGAACAAGTTAGTGAACATCTCCTGTCTCAGTGTCTTCCTGGGCAAGATGGAAAGAATAATGTTAAGAATCACGCAGAGGAACTGGGCTCTTGCATGTAAAGCACTTAAGTCAGCATCTGGCATGGATTAAATGCAATACAACTTCTAGATTTTACTGTGGGACCCATTGACTGCCAGGCTGACCAATTCCAATTGTATTCGGTAAGCAATGGAAGCTGTCTCTCTATATAGAAATAGATCAGCCTACATTTGAGAATCCCTGTGGCTTCAACAAATTGGGATCCCAATGTGAAACTATCCAACTCTAAACATCATTGGGGAATTTCAACATGGAATCAATGCATGTCTGGAAAAAAAAAATGACTGTATTCATCAACCTGACTGCTGCCCAAGCTTCATTCCATGGACTTCTAAGGAGGCACTGGCAGCTTGGTCAAAACTAGCTTTGAAGCTACTGATCTGAGCTCTCTTAATAACAAATGCCTTTGTTTTGTCCATAGATAAAAGCTTGTCAAAAGGACAAAGAAAAACTAGAAAAGCAATTGAAACAGGTATGTGGAATCATTACTTAAGCCCTCTTGTCACGGTGGAGATGGTGACTCTAAGGTTCACCCACACACGTATTCCCGCACTGTTTCTCAGGGTCCCCCTGCACAGCACATTCAAGCTCTGCCACAGAGCAGCTCAGGCTTTTCATGGTCATGGAGGACATCAGAGGACAGATGGCCCTTAGGAACCACAATGCCTTTGAAGGGAAATGCCGCTCATGAGAAACACATGCTCTACAGCATGTGACCAGGAGCACAGAGCGCAGGGTGTTAGGACTCAGTGGATGGTTTTCCTTCTGAAGACTCTTCATGAAGACAACATGGATGGATATAGTGAACTATATGCTTTCCTAGTGTTTCCTAATTTCTTCAAAATGGAGAAAAAATTCTCATCTCCCCTTAGGGACACTTTAGCCTGTGAGGCTCCACTTGAAAAGGCCTGAATCTACACTTTCTATTTTGAGTTAGAACTATGCCATATTAAGCTAAACCTTGGGATTTAAATCAAACCTTGTCCAAAGCAAGTGTCAGTGTGACTCCCTGGCATGGCTCACAGCCAATGAACTGCCTGCATTGTTCTCCTCAGATGTATTTCCCAATCTGTAAATGTGGCTTGGTTTTCCAACTGCGGGATTCTGGAGTACCCACACCCCCCAGGGCTGAGCACCATCAACAAGACCACGCGGTAAGTAAGACTTCTCATCCCAACAAAGAATGCTTAGTGTTTGTTGGTAGAAATGATGAATATCTCTGGGGACCAGCAGTTAGTGTAATGGCTATGGTGCTGAACTCCCACGTAGTCGACTGCGGTTCCCGTCCTGGACCCGGTGGCTTGAACTCACAGTGGGCGCGTGTGCGTATGTGCCCGGGATCCCGAGAGTAGAATGGAGGAGAAGGGATTGCATCATGGCCATCTCCACTGGGGGGTGATTTCTCACTTTCTGTCTCTCTGTCTCTCTCTGTCTTTCTGGCGAGCGCACGCTCCCTATAGCAAAAACCTCTCCAAAAAAAGAAAAAAAAAAAAGACGAATATCTCTGGAATTTGGGCATGTAATATTGTCTACAGGAAGAGCCTCTATTTTTAACTCAGCCTCTAATTTGCAAAATTCCAGCATTCAGTATATATTATAATGATCTTTGGGATACTGAATCCACAGGACACGTTTCATAACTGTAATAAGTGAACAGCAAGACATGAAATTGAACTGTAATTCCTTAAACAAGCTCAGCATTTCACACACATTCTTTTTGATTGGCGTACCTGACTCTAGTAGATACAGCAAAACAACAAAAATGAGATACTTTTTTTTAGTTCTAAACTTACATTGAACTACTGTGGATTTTGCTACACGTGTGCAAAATAGCTTTCAACGTTTTCCAATTGAAAGGATTTTCTTAAAGGATCGAAGAAAAAGTGACCCATTTAAGTTGTCCTCCATGGCTGTGTCTGCTCAAAGCAAAATGACACGAACAGTTGAGCAATTATTTGTGAGTGGAATTGATTTGGACAGACAACCTGAATAAGACAGACCCAAAGCACCCGCTCAACGGCAGTGTTTCACCCAAATCCTGCTGTGGTCTGCGTTTGCCTCTACTCTGCACTTGGCCAACATCAACAGAACCTACCTCCAGAAAGAGCATTTAAGTAGTTTTCTGCATTTTGGATTTCCTCAGACAACTTCCTCCCCACCCCTCAATTTTTATTGACTGTGTTTCTATTTATTTATACAAAGAATCTAAGGTTTTAGCTGGGCTTTTCCTAGCTAAATACTGAAGAAGGCCTGATTCTCTTGATTGCCTTCCAACTACTCAGACTTGTATCTGAGGATGACTCAAAGCCTTCCTTTCAAGAGAGGTGATAATAATGACTCTGGATGGCAGGAGGATGCCCGGATTTAATGAGTGTCTCTTCGTTGACTGTGGTAGGACCGCACAGTGCTGAGAACTGGTTTCTTTTTATGTTGTTCCCACTTGCCGGTTCCATGCACTCTCTTCCTGTCTCCTTTTTTCTTTACCTGTTTGCTTAATTTTTAGTCTTTATCAGAAGCATTTCTGGGACTTTTCAAACACATATTTCATGCCTTCCATTTTCTTTTAAGGATGTGGAAGTAAAGTAAGATTGTGGAAAACAGAAGGGATAAAAAGGGGTTACTTAGAAGGTAACCCCTACAGGTTAGAGAAGACATCATCTTGTGAAAGGTTGATGATAAATTTAATGAGTCATTCAAGTGTACTTAGGAATAAGCGAATGACTGTTTTTGTCAAACCTTCGTTCATGGAGAAAAGGTCGAAATGCACCTCCTCCTCTCTATAGCTCATCAACTTTTCTCATCCCCTGAAGAGGCAGGACAGTCCAGATCACATCAGATTATCACCAAATAAGGTCTACATTTGAAAAAAGCTTCCACGCCATACATAATGGCCAGCATGTTCAAGCAGTGTTCAGCTGAACAAAATCATCTCAGTAGAACAAGTAGAATTTACAATAAAACCACCAGAGTCAGCTTGAAAAGAATATCTGATGTTTCTTGCTTACATTGAAGCCTGAATTAAATCCTCTGCAATAGTGTTAGTAAAATGACGGCATCTTTAGCTTCTTTTGGAAACTCTCCTGGAATATAAAACTGAGGCTCACGTCACTTATCCTATGTGTTATTCGAGACATCTAAAAATAAACGAGAAGATGAAAAGCAGAGGTGAGCTCATTTCCTCTTCTAACGTGTTCATGAGCCAAGAGCCTAGGTATCTGAGTCGGGGTAAAGCGGGGTCAACCCACACTAAATGCAGCGTTTCCCAGGGTCTCGTCAGGTAACTGAACTTTTAGGTTACTTTTAGAGGTCTGGCTGCCTTGTACATGCTCCCCATTCGCTCGCTGTTAGAGAAATTTTCCTTTTTAAGGAGATAACTGAAAAACAGAACAAAAGGTCTGTATTCTCTGTGTCTTATGGGAAGTGGGAGGCAGGGCTGAGCATTGGGAGTAGGAAGACAGATCTACTCGTGGGCATGGAGAGCTAAAATTGCTTAGTTCGAAGGGGTTCAGTACAAATATGGTGGCCTTGGAACCATGTTGATCATTCAGGTCTATAGCTTAGGCATGCAGTTTATTTGATGTGTTTCCTGATGGTCAACATCTAGCTGCTCTTTATCTGTTGTAAATGTAGGAGAAAATACCAAGAGATCAATCTAGTCTTTCAAGTCTAAACTATCTAGTAGCAATTTAGAGGATAGATTCTGCTGAAGAATGGCACGGAGGGATACTTTTCCCTGCTTCACCATCCTCACTCTCTGTACAGCATATCTATTGAATAGGGTAGATGTCTTCCTTGAATCACTAGAAAACATTCAACCTGTATTTCCTGGCCTTCTCATTGCCTCCAGTACGCGGTTTTTAAAAGAGTATTTGTTGATGGTAAACTGCTTTGTTTTATTTATGGGCCATAGTAAGTTTGACAAAAGTGTTTACACTTCTGCAGATACCCCAAACACACATCTGTTTCCCAAAATAAGAAAACATGCCACCATTCCAGCGTAGTAGAAATTCTGGCCAAATACAGAGTGGGTTTAGGAGGGGGTAGGGCGGGATGGTGGTCACAATGTGAGCAGGAAGTGGGGCGGTCAAGATGGGCCACAGGTTTAAGTAGAAATTAGCGTCGCGTTGCTTGCTTCATAAAAGCCACATCGCACAGTTACGTTTTTAATGTGCCCACTCTGTTTTGTTTGAAGTCCATATTGCTGTAATAACGTTTTATTGTTCCCCACAGCCAGACTATCGGTGGTATGCGCTCGACCAGTTTCCGCCAGATGTACAGCACAAGGCGAAGGGTAAGACCACAGCTGTATTGCGCATTCTTTCATGTTTACACTCTAATGGGATCTTTGGGGGATGTTTACTCAGCATACAGGCATTTGTACTTGGGGAGGACTTACTCCAGAGTTGTGTTGTATACACAACTCTAATTTGATGCACCTGGGGTTAAATCAAACTTAAGACAAAGAAAATGTTCCAATGCAAAAATGCACAAAGCTCGATTCTGGCTTCTGTTCCTATTTCAGTCTCCGAGTCCGAATTCCATCTGGGGTTAGCAATGAAAACTTAAGCAGAGCTGTATTCTAACAGCAACAACAAAGCTCTGTTTCTACTACAAAGGACAGATGCACATCCACTATTCCAGGTTGAGTTTGCTAGACAGATGTTTTCATGTCACTGGCAGACAGACAGAGGAAGCCGAAGGCTCAGAACTGTGTTCCCTTATGACTGAATGCCAGACTGCAGGACAGAGCTCTGAGTTTGGGCCAGCGTTGCCCACAACACCCACCTCGCAGCATGCTGGGAGAAACTCAAACTCACCTACAACACACTCACAACTCTGAGGACTCTTTGATCTCATTTTTCTTTGGCTTGTCACTCTCCTCCTTCTTTCCAGAATCTGCTATTCCTTCTTTTGCTTTTTGACTGTGGTCTCATGAGACCACTCAAAAATGAGCTTTAGAAACTGAGGTATACTCATAACCCACTTCTGTTCTCCTCGTGTCATTAAGCGTTGGCAATGTCTGCTACAATTGTAAAGTTTCGTGTGACGCACGCCTTTGATTCTAACTTGGTTTGAATCTATCTAGAAAAGCTGAAGATGAGTTATTCTAGTTTCAGGCCATGCTGAAATTTGATCTCACTTAGTTTAGAACTAAGATCATACAGTAAATCATTCTTGGTTTTTGTTTTTGTTTTGAGAGATTTTTTTTTTTTTTTGCTACAGGGCATGAGCACTCACTGGAGAGACAGAGACAGAGAGACCGAAAGTAAGACATCATTCCCCAGGGGTCACACCACAATCTTTACTCCTCCATTCTCTTCTTGGGATGTTGGGCACGCACGCACATGCACCTGGTGTAAGTTTTAAGCCACCAGGTAGGTCCAGGGCTTAAACCATTGTCGACTACATGGAGTCCAGCAATGGAGCCATTACACCATCTGCTGGTCTCAGTCATTCTAGGTTTTAATACAAGTCCATTGTAGAGTTGATATAGAGAACCAGGAATACCACAAGTAGTTTTGTAGGGTGTGAACTTCACAAGTCTGAGGGACTGCTCATGCCAATCTATTAGCACAGAGATGCTGAGAGTTGAACAGTCCACAGAGTGGACAGCCGTGCCTGGCAGCACTGGGTTCAGCTATGTCCACAGCCTGCAGTACCCTCATACAGATGAGAAATAAAAAGGGTGAGCTCTGTAGTATAGTGTTCAGGTATGTATTAGAAAACTGTACAACTTCCTTCTTTCTTGCTTTCTACTACAAATGTACCCAGCAGTTTTAATGATATTTTGGGTTCCAGACAGGCTGAACAGTTTTTATTAGAAAGGCATACTATTAACCAGAATGATTATTTCCTAATGCCTGTGTTTTTGAAATCCATTGTTGTATAATTGCTGGATTATTATGATCATTTTCCATTTTATATTGGTCTGAAATTCAGAATACAAAGGTTATTTTTTCCTCAAGTCCGAGTTTAATCACTAGGAAATATAAGTAGAGAATTCAGTAACATGAGAAGGCCATTGATATATCATTATCAGATGTTTCCTGGACCTATATTATAGAAGCTAATAATTCTACAAAATATAAATGAATGATCATGACCTTCAAGAACCAAATAAGATATAGGGACCAGCAGTTAGTGTAATGGCTATGTCGCTGGACTCCCACGTAGCTGACCACAGTTCGAGTCCTGGACCCGGTGGCTTAAACTCATGCCGGGTGCGTGTGCGTGCATGCCCAAGATCCCAAGAGGAGAATGGAGGAGAAGGGATTGCAGCATGGCCATCCCCTCTGGGGAGTGATTTCTCGCTTTCTATCTCTCTGTCTCTGTCTGTCTGGCGAGCGCATGCGCCCTGTAGCAAAAACCTCTCAGAAAAAAAAAAAGAAAGAAAAAAGAACTAAATAAGATATGCACAATTGAAATTTTGTAGTGTATGAGACCTACTGATTTTTGTCTACTTAGGAAAATTGTAGTGATCCTTGTGATATAGTAACATACTCTGTAACAGTGCCTCTAGATGTAAAATTGCAATTAAAATAAAAGGCCCAAGTATTTTAAAAACATTATTGGGCCAGCCCCTTAGCCTATTGGTTAGGGTAGTTGGCTCCCACATGGCTGACCACAGGTCAGATCCCAGCCCAGGTAACTTAAAAGCATGTCAGGCACATGTAAGTGCGTGCCTCAAATCCTGACAGGATGCAGAAATGGAGGGGAAGGAATTGTAGCATGCCCATGCCCCGTGGGGGGGATCTTTCTCTTCCCTTCTCTCTCCCTGTATCTCTCTGTCTTTCTCTGGTGAACACATGCACCCTCTAGCAAGAAAAAATAAGAAAATAAATCAACCAACAAATAAACATTATTTACTTTTATCTTTACAACACTGCTACGGCAGTGCTAAGAAAGGTTTTAATTTATGCTGTTTTACACAAGAGGAAGCTGAGCTTAGAGCGCTTAAGTAGCATACCTACACCACACCATTAGTCAAATTTGGCACTGGGATTAGATTCTTTGATCTATGAAATTCCAGAATCCGTGATTTAAATCTTATCCTACAATGCCTTTGACAACAATCTCTTACTGTATTAAGATGTTCTAAAGTGATAGATACAGACTTGCGAGTAGCAACTCTAAATTGGACAATTAAATGACTCAGTGTCTAACCCTCCCTAATCTCTTCTTCCACCGAAAGCACAGAATACATCATATACCACCCAACACTCAGGACGCCGCAGGTGAAAGGCGCAGTACCATGCAGTGTGTAATATGTTAGGAACTAACTCGGGCATGGGAAGCCCTGCTGGGACTTGGCAGGGGTATGTTGCCCTTTGAAAATGGCCCTCTTTGTCCTCGCAGCTCTGCTGCTGATTGTGGTTTGCTGAAACAGGAGATGGGACTAATTGTGGCTGAAGGACCACCGGAGAAATTCCTTCCTCAACCAATCTACCTGGGGGCCAACAGGTGGTATAGTAGTTAAGGCGCTGTAATCCCAGCTGGTATATCCCAATTTATCCACATGCTCCTCCAAAGAGCACCCCTTGGACAGGCTTCAGGCCTGGGGAAGAGGACCACGTACTCCTCAGCACCCTCCAAAGAGCACCCCTTGGATAGGCTTCAGGCCTGGGGAAGAGGACCACGTACTCCTCAGCACCCTCCAAAGAGCACCCCTTGAATAGGCTTCAGGCCTGGTGAAAAAGCCCACATAAGCTCTGGAAGTAAGCCTAGGGTCATTTGGGAAAAAAGCTCTGGAAGTAAGCCTAGGGTCATTTGGGAAGGAATTTGGGGGTCCGCATTGTTCTGGCCTGGAACTAAGAGTGATAGAAGCTGAAACTATGTCATTCAACTGATTTCCAGCTTTGCTCTCAGTTACTGTCTGTGATTATTTTAGGATGTTTTGGGGACACATTGAAAATTCACTCTTTAAAAAAAAGCCTAAGCATGGTTGAACCAGCAAGTGGTATGTAGGTTAAAGTGACTGGATCCTACATGGCCAACTGCGATTGGAGTCCAGGACCCAAAGACTTCAAAATTACTCCAGGTGCATGTGTGTATGTGCCCAAAATCCCAAGAGGAGAATGAAGGGGAAGGGGTTGCAGTATGGCCATCCTGCCTGGGGTGGGGATGAGTGTGATTTCACACTTTGCCTCTCTCTTTCCTCAGAAAGCACATGTGCCTCAAAGCAAAAACACAAACAAATCTAAGCATGTTTAAATGAAGGTTTTCAAGGTATTTGAGAGTTCCTTGGCTTTCTCTCTGCATAGCATTAAATAGTGGTATTTTTAATCATTTGAGAGTTCCTTGGCTTTCTGCATAGCATTAAATAGTGGTATTTTTAATACCATTAAAAGATCCACAGATGTTGGGACCAACAGATGGCATAATGGTTACATTGCTGGACTCCCACATAGTTGACCACAGTTCAAATCTCAGACCCGATGGTATAAAACTCATCATACCGGGCATGTGTGCATGCACACCCAAAATCCCAAGAAGAGAATGGAGAAGAAGGGATTGCAGTGTGGCCACCCCACCCCCACCCCACCCCACCTCAGGGGGAGATTTACCACTTGTGTTCTTATTGTTTCTCTGTCTCCCCCACAAGCACATGCACCCTATGACAAAATTATCTCTTGGAAAAAAAAGCCCACAGATGCTAATGGGTTATAGTTTCTGTTTAGAACACACAATTTTCTAATCTTATTTCATCTGTTTACAGAATAGAATGCAAAATGACTTCTACGTTCTGAGAACAGTTACGGCATAGCAGAGCTAGCATAACCTTGGGAACATGTTCATTTCTTCCTCTCTGAAATGTCAGAAATCTACATTTTCTGACTACACGGTGGGCTGGTCACTTCCATACACCCAGATTTTTCATGTAGTGCATAGTCGAACCTTGTCTAATGAGCTTGAGCTCAAATCTTGCATATTTGGAAAGACATGAATTATATGTGTGCGAGATTATGTTATGAGCAAACCCAATTACTTCTTTATAATATAGCAGATCAAAGCCAAAATACTATAATTGGTCTTAACTCATGTCTAATAATAACTAATTAGCTCAATACTGACTGGATTCATTGCCTGGAACTATCATTACAAAGTACCATAAACTGGGCAGCTTGATACAGCAGAACTTCTTCCCAGATCTGGGGCTAGAATTCCAAGCCAAGGTGTTGGGGGCCGGGGTCATGGTCCCTGCAGATCTCCCGGGGAGGACCTGGCCTTGCCTCTTTTGGCTTCTGGTGGCTCCACATATTCCTTGATTTGTGGCAGCATAACTAACCTGGTCCTCACCTGGCCATCCTCCTTCTGTGACTGTGTTCAAATTCTCCTCTTTCAAGTACGGCAGTCAAATTGGATTAGGGCCTGCCCCGATACAGTGTGACCTCATCTTAGCCTGATTACATCTACAAAAGTTTGATTTCCAAAAAGGGTCACTTTCACAATCAGGGGTTGGGACTTAAACGTATCTTTCAGAGGAACATGATTCAGTCACCTAAAATGCCAATTATGTGCCAGATCCTATTTTCGGTGTTTCATATATATTATCCCACCCAAACATTATAGCAACCCTACGAAATGAGCCCTGCTGATGTCCCAGGTACAAATGTGGAAATGGAGGCACGGAGAAACAGTGTGATTTGTCCAGGTCCACACAGCTAGCTATTGGCTAGACCGTAGGCAAGCACAAGCGGGCTGACCCTGAAGCCCCTGAGTAACCACTAAACGGAACGGGCTGTCCTATGCTGTGCGTTCGGTAAAGCATGATGGTATTGTGGTTTATTCACATAAATTCTGACAGTGATGTCTGGAAAGCCTATATCTTTATTTCTCAGTTTGTGTCTTTTTATATCTACTTTTAGATCTCGATTATAGACCATTTTTGTATTAGGAAAGTGGCTGGATTCATTTTTGGGGGGAGTGGAAAAATAAAGGACCAACAGAAAATAATGAAAGCCACTTAAGAAATACAAGAAACAGAAAATATAGAGACCATATTTAGTATAACTTTCAATACATATGGATAAAGTATTTAAGAATATTTTTCTTTTATTAACTACATTTCCTTCGTAATTATTTTACCAGTGACTAATACAGAAGATTAGTTGAAATTTGGAAACAGATCATTGTATGACTAGTTCTTGATTTTTAAAACAGAATTGTAGGAGAAATGCCTTCTTACCATTCTCTGTCTCTCTTTATATATATTTATATAGTATAGATAGTATATATATTTAATTGTCAGAGGGTACCTGTGTTCACCAGAGAGATCACAGAGAGAGAGAGAGACAGAGAGACAGAGAAAGAGAAAGCACCCCTCAATGAAGCATGGTAACACTGCAGTCCTTCGTCCATCTTTCATCCTGTCAGGATTCCAGGCACACACGCACAAACATCTGGCATTTTTCTTCAAGACTCCCAGGCCAGGATTCAAACCATGGTCAGCCATATGGGATCCAGCTCCCTTAAGTGCTAACTCTGGGACTGTCTCCTTAACCATATTATAGTGTCACAAAGGTCAATAAGCTCAGCAATTCTACCAAGGAAATATGGAATCAAGTAGAAAAGCATATTTATATATACACGAACATGCAGGTGATGAATACACTCCTATTCCACCATAGATTTTTACAAGCACATATTAAGCATGCCGATGAACAGCTACACACACACACATAGATAAATGGAGAGACAGATGGTTTTTAAAAATGCACACAGTAAGTCTAGAACAGTTCTAAGGCCATCTGATGAATAAACATGCAGCCATTCTCTTGAATGGAAGACAAAAACCTGCCGGGAAGGAAAGGGAGGCACATGCCGTGTATTACCTCCCACCTGAGCAGAGCGTTTCCTTCTCTAGGTTTCCCTACTGTTCACACTGAAGCGTTCGCATCCTCGGAGACCATGGCATAGAGTGACCAGTCACCCTGGTGCTGTCCACTGCTCATTGATACCCACTCCCCTCTTAGAAGCAACTGAGTTTCAGATTCGGCTGTGTTCATGCAGGGTCAGGGCCGCTGCATCCAAGTGTCAGAGTCATACTCAGACCACCTCCACAGCCTGCTGTTAAGCCTGCATCCCTGTGAACGTCAAAGCACAGAGTGTAAAACTAATATGTGAGCAGGTGCAGGAGTAGAGAATAGAGTTCTTCACCAGCCTGTAAAGACCTCTCTCTCTCTCTCTCTCTCTCTCTCTCTCTCTTTCTCTTTCTTTGGTGGGGTGGTGAGAGGAGGGATACACACATACATACACACACACACACACATGCGCGTGCGCGCACAGTGTGTTTTTCAAGCCACTGGGTCTGGTACTCAAACCACACAGTTGGTGGGATCCCACTGTCTTACCCACCACACCCTCTGTCTGGCCCAAGCGTACTCTTCTCTAATGGGGTGAGAACCAGCATTCTCTTGTGGCGTATTTCTCCCTTTGTTGTTGTAACAATGGAGCCAAGTCTCAGCACATAAGTGTCTTCCCAGCCTTCAGGTGTAGAGAAACTGCCTTCCCTTCGAGAAACAAAGGCCTGTTTTTATTTTTGTTTTTATTTCTACTCCTCCATGGGTTATCTCATGGGCCACAGCCTCACTCAACTCAAAATGGGGGAGGATGACCTTGGACTCTGTGTCTATTCCACAAGAGCACTATACAGATAACAATGGATTTTGTGTGTTTAATATTTTAAGATACCTACAGATAGGCACCATGCTCGTATTAAACTTGAACTTCAGAGTAATTGGATTTGGGGATAGTGCTTCTGGTTCAAATGTATATTCTCAATGTATTTGGTATCTTTTCATTGTTTTGGCCATAGTTCTCATAGGACGCCTTTTTTTTTTTAGGTTTTTGCCACAGCGCGTATGCACTCATTAGAGAGAGACAGAGTCAGAGACAGAGACAGAGAGCGGGAAAGTGAGAAATCACTCCCCAGAGGGGATGGCCATGCCACAATTCCTTTCCCTCCCATTCTCTTCTTGGGATTTTTGGGCACACATGTACACATGCCTGGCATGATTTTAAAGCCGCTGGGTCTAGAACTTGAACTGTGGTCGGCCATGTGGGAATCCAGCACCTTAGCCACTACACGACCTGTTGGCCCCGAGAGGCATACTTGTTAAGCTTGAAAAAGCAACTTTTCTTCTTTCTGTTTCCTTTGTTAACCAACATATTCATTTTCCATGTTTTTGGTAACCGAATGCAAGGCAGCAAGTGTAAAACATATTTTTTAAGTTACCACAAGTAAAGAAAATTCTTCCTGGACGTTTCTGTCGTCTGTGTTTTCCCGCTGTCCTGAGTCAACCTCTTTGATTTTCTCTTCCTTGTAGTACTTACTCGTGGTCTTCTGGCTTCGTCCTACTATTAAATACCAAATTGTTCATATTGGTCTTCACAACGCACTCACACATCTTCAGAGCTATGGTCTTTCCTATGGCTTGGACAGTGATGTATCCAGTGCTGTATTTTAAATGATAGTTCCTTTAGCAAATGAACTTCCTCTGGGGTAAGTACTGAACCTAGTCGCAACGTGTATGACAGACTTTGCTAAGCAACTGTCCAAGCCACCCAAATGTCAGCAAGAATGAGAATTAGGATAGAAATTCCTCTTCAGGCATGATTAGAATGAGGCCACAGCTGATTTCTCAAAATGGTAAGCATATGTCAGTGCTTAAAACAATAACCCTCCGTCTCCCACCTCTGATTTCTCAACGTAGACTTGTGGGGAATTCATGAATAAAATAACTCTCTTTTATGCCACCTTGAAGTTTATGTTAGCCCTAAGCCAGGAGAAAAGACATTTTAATTTTTAATATAAAACATTTTCTTGCTGTTTCTGTAGGTTTTTCCTCAGAAAAGAAAGTCTGTCAGTAGAAGCAACACCAAGGGAGAACAACAGGCCAAGTGAGAACTGGGCCCAGGGCCCCCTTCGTTACTTTGTGGCTTATTGTCTGACAGCCGCAAACCTTCTACTCCATTACTCATGCCCGGAAATGTTTCCCTTTGGCCTGGAGCGAGGAAAAGACTTCTGACACAGAGGTCCTGATCAAGTCTGAGGTGGCAGCCGCTGCACAAGCAGATGTAACCTCCAGTTTCCTCCAAATGAGACCTGGCGGGTGGGTTGTGTGCCACGCCTTGATGCATTCTGCAGCACGTTACTGGATTCCCAGAGAGGACGCCATGATTAAGAGACTCCATTTTGGACACAGGGACACTGTACGTTGACATATGGACTCACATTCCTTGGGAGAAAGTTTCTCCAGTTGTATGTTTTCAACATCGTTTCCATTTTCTTTCAGGGACTTATGCAATTCTTTACCCAGTTTGACTAGATACTATGTTCCTCAATGTTGAATTCACTTCAGTGAATCTAAGATAAGACTGAAGAGGTTTATGTATGTCTTTAAGTAAAAATTATTCTTTAAATAGATTATGTCTTTCAGCTGATGAGAAATTGTGAGCCTCCTTCATTTCTAGGTGGGACAGATTATAAAAAAGAAAGTCCTAATGAGATAATGGTGGCTCTGCTGTGTCCATACAGAAGGAATCCAGACATACACGCATTTATGGTTAAATCTGTGTTTTTCCTTCCCATGGATTTGAATAATCATTTATTTTAAAAAGAGGTTGTGCCTTAAGACACATGTACTCACGGGGAACGAGAAGTATAAAGCAAAGTAAGAAATCACCACCCCAAGAGGAGATGGCCACGTTGCAATCCCTTCTCCTCCATTCTCCTCCTGGGATCTCGGGCACGCATGCACACACACCCAGTCTGAGTTTCAAGCCACCGGATCCAGGGCTCAAATCACAGTTAGCCGTGTGGGAGTCCAGCAATGTAACTGCTGTGCCATCTGCTGGTCCCTTGAATAATTACTAGTGAACAATATAACTCTGACTTCTCAAGCCAATTAATATGGAAATAAAATATTTTCAAATTTTATTGCAATCGAATTATACAATGACATGACAGATGTCGAAAGAATAAGCAGATTCAAAAGTATTAGGTTCATCCACTTAATGAGGTTTCTTCCAGGACCAACTTGAGATCCTCTTTGTGGCGACCATACCTGACAGGAGTCTGAGACCCACCAGATCTATGCTTCTAGAAGCACCAAAAGAGACCCGGGAGCAGAGACTGAATAATTAAGCAAATAAAAAGTCCAGACACAGTGCTGAGACTAGCTTCAATTTCCTAAACTTACATTGCTTAATTCCAGCTCCAACTATTTTTGTTTCAATTTCTAGATACACTTGACGCTTTGTGTCATGAGAAGGTGAAAGGATGAACCCTAGGGAATGAAATGCTTTCAGCTCCAGTCTTCAGATATTCTGGAACATAATTCTTGACAAAAAAATTATCCTTCCCTTGCTGTAATTTTCTAAAGCTTTGTTTTTGCTAGTGTTCATCAGAGAGACAAATTATTTCCTGGTATTACTTCAGTGGAAGCGAATCAGAGAAACAGCAGTGTTGAGGGCAGCAGGCAGCAGGTGGTTAAGGCCCAGACTCCCACACGGGTACTGTGAGTCAAGTCCCAGACCTGGAGGCCAGCTCTCTGTTTCTCTCTCTAGTGAGCACAGATGCCCGATAGCATCTTAAAAAATAATAATTATAATACATAAAATTAAATAATTCTTTTCAAATAAAGAACGAAGGAAAAATAACAGTGGAACAAGGCATCTGCATGGAAACAATTCAGCATACATATAAATTTTCATTTGCTCAGATGAGTGAAAAAGTCATTGTAAAGTCCATTTTTGGTGGTGGATTCAATTTGCCAACTGAGGTGTACCCACCAGAATAATCATTGTACATATGAGAGAGTAGGTCAGATAGGCCAGTGACAAGTCTTCCCAGTAGCACTAAAATAGGATTTCAGTCTCCAGTCAAAAGCCATCCAGTTACTAATGAGCAAGTTGCCGCCCACTGGCCAGACTGTGAATACTAATGGAATGGGAGAAAATTTAAGAGAGACCTCGTTTAATTTGAGCTCCCCTTGTGGAGGGGGAATATGGGAGGAGGACCCCTTGCTCAGACGGTAACTACTGCTCCCGGAAGACAGATTTTGACAACCCTGGCCTGAAAGTCAGACAGTCGTCCCATGTCCCTCTCCCTGTACAATTTGTCTGGGGACTTCTCTGCCTCAAGTCATTATAAGGGTCATACCCTCAGCTGAGACTCTTACTTCATTATCACCACAATTTGTGAAAATGGTGTGATGAATAACTGTCCCTTTGAAAGGAGAGGAAGTCACATGGCCTGTCTTACTAAGCATATTTTAGGTTTTGGGTGATCACAGAGAGTTTTTCTTGAAAGTGTCAAACAAAAGGAAGGATATGTTTATTTTGGTTGTGATGTAAGGTTAGAAGGAAATCTTCCTCGGGGTTCTAGTATATCCAGGAGAGAAGCTATCCCCTACAGTTCCTCACTGACTAATAAAATAACATTTTGGGTGAAATTGCTAGTATTATTGAGAATGGACTAGTTTCTAGATGACTATCCCCTACTGTTCCTCACTGGATTTGTTTTGGACCCAGTTTTCCTGACTAATAAAATAACATTTTGGGTGAAATTGCTAGTATTATTGAGAATGGACTAGTTTCTAGATGACTTTCTATAGTTGGTTGACTGATGTTTGTCTCCCAGCAGGAGAAGTGTGATTATTCCCTTGTTACAGATGATTAATCTAAGGTACAGAGAGATTCCCTAAGCTCCCCAGAGTCTTACAGCAAGTTCATGGCAAAGCTAGGATTCTCCACTGACTGAACTAGGGCTGCCCAGTTTGTTGAATGTAACATTCTGCTTTCTGGATTACCTCAGCAAGTTCTACTTGTTTTTGTTTTTGTTTTTAACGGTGCTTTTTTTTTTTTTTTTTTACCAAGTTACAAGTGCAAACTTCTAAGAAAAAAATGGTAAGTGAAAATACTCTGTCTTGTATGGGACTGGTAATTTACCTCCTGAGTTAAGTATCGTCTCATTTAGGCTATGGCAGGGGGAAAGACAAATGTACATTGACTGCGAAAGTGTTTTAAATGATGCAAGCATGGGCCCTGCATGGTTGCTCTCATGTGTTCATACTTTCCTTGTTTGTTTGCTTTTTAGTGGTACCAGGAGTTGGCGTAATGGCTATGTTGCTGAACTCCCATGTAGTCAACTGCGGTTCGAGTCCCAGACCTGGTGGCTTAAACTCATGCTAGGCACATGTGTGTGCGTGCCCAAGATCCCGAGAGGAGAATGGAGGAGAAGGGATTGCAGTGTGGCCATCCCCCCGGGGGGTGATTTATCACTTTCTGTCTCTCTCTTTGCATTTTAGTCATCGTTTTTGTGACAGGGTATGTGCACTAACCTGAGACAGAGAGAGGGAAGGTGAGAAATCAGCCCCATGGGAGATGGCCTCACCATAGTACCTTCTCCTCCATTCTCCTCTAAGGATTTTGGGTGCACATGCACACGAGTCTGGTGTGTTTTTCAAGCTGCCAGGTCCAGAACTCAAACCACACAGTTGGTCATATATACTGTAGGAATCAGCCGCCTTCACCACCATGTCACCGACTGGCCCAGCATCTGCTTTTATGAGAGTATTTTGAGAAAGTTAGCTGAGTCCTTAGCAGAAAAAGGTCCAGGAAGTCTTTGAAAGATGGCCCCTCTTGACGAGGACACTGTGCCTACTCATTCCTCTCATTAATAGGGCAGTTTTACAGAAGTTTCCATGGAACTCATTTCATAGCCACATCTCAGTCCTCATTTGGCTCCTGATTTCACTTTGTAACCTTTATTTTTATTTTATTTTATTTTATTTTATTTTATTTTATTTATTTTATTTTATTAGCTGTAGGACACATGCATTTACTGGAGACAGTGACAGAGAGGGAAAGTGAGAATTCATCCCATGGGGGCAAGGCCATGCCACAGTCCCTCCTCTTCCAGTCTTCTCTCAGGATTTTGGGTGCTTACACATACCCAGTGTGTTTTCAAGCTGTAGGGTCTGGGACTTGAACTGCAAGTGGGATCAGACATTCAGGCTTTAACAGCCATATGGGATTTAGCACATTAACCTCCATGCCATCTGCTGGCCCATCACTTTATAATCTTAAGGAATGTATTTTTCTTCAGTTAATAATGTAAAAAAAGACTTGCTTTGACATTGTCACATTCCCAGGACCTTCAGTTATTTAGGGATAGAGTGGCTGGTTTCCTCATTTACAGAAGCGCCTTAAACTTGATGGAGCTTGTGTTGCAAAATTTATTTTTATCTTTTAATTTCACTTGTCCACAAATTTTTGAAGTCACATGTATATATATATTTGTTAGTTTGTTATTTAGTTGATAATTTTTTTCTTTTCTTTTTCTTTTTCTTTTTTTTTTTTTTTAGAGTTTTGCTATAGGGCACATGCACTTGCTGGAGAGGCAGAGACAGAGACAAAAAGTGAGAAATCACCCCCCTGGGGAGATGGCCATGCCGCAATCCCTTCTCCTCCATTCTCCTCTCAGGATCCTGGGCACATACATGCATGCATGTACACATGCCAAGCATGCATTTCAAACCACCAGGTCCAGGACTTGAACTGTGGTGCACTATGTAGGAGTCCAGCACCTTAACCACCAGGCCACCTGCCAGTCCCTAGTTCATATTTTTGAAATAGGCAAGTAGGACAGTTGATAGCCTTATCAGGCATGATGTACCGGGATGAGGTAAGCAATTCAAATATTACACTTGCTGGTCCTACAAAATGTTACTTTTGATTATAGTGTAGTAACTTTGAATATATTTTAAAGTGGGACTAAAATCTTGCAACCTGTAGGATCCAGCAACTTAACCTGGGAAACAATAATAAAAGATAAAATACAGTGTTTCTTTAGACTTTCCTTTTAAATATGGCAAAGCTTCTTAAGAAGATACTTTAATGAAGCAAACTTGGAAGACGTTACAAATGAAATAAAACCCCAAAGCCTATGTCTAATTCCTTATTTCATTTTCTAAAGTGCTTACTTGCATACACCTGATAACTTACATTTGAAGAAGTTGTTAGTAAATAAATCATAGGAAATGGAATTCCTTTGCATAAGAACGCCACCAAGTAAATTCTGCTTTAAAAGTCAGTGGGTGATACTGTTTCTTTCTAGCAAAATTAAAAACTGTAGCATTAGAATCTTCTAGTTACTTTGTAGCAAAATGTAAATTCAAATAGAAAGTTTCTTTTCAGTGAGAAGTGAAGGTAATACTAAATGGCTTGAAACTTCTCTGTAAATCAGTTCATTTTTGGACGGTTAGTCAAAGTCAACACATGTTTTACTCCCATCTTGGGAAATTATCTAGTTTTGCTGCTATTCTTCATCAATGTCACATATTAGAAGTTTCTTTCAGGACCAGCAGATGACGTAATGGTTACATTGCTGGACTCCCACGCAGTAGACTGCAGTTTGAGTCTCCCACCCAGTGACTTGA